ATAGACATAGGCAATAAAATAACTCGGATTATAAATTTCATCAATTATGGATAATATTTGAAAGATTTTATGCTGTATCAAGCACATATATAATCTTATCCTTAAGGATAAGTTTACACCTTCAATAGGCTAGTATGTGTTTCTTGTATGGTCATAATAAAATATATATTCAACGAGTAATAAATAAATCCATTAATAGCACCAAAAAATTTCTACTATAAATTAGTGAAATCTTTTGACAAATTCACTAACTCTAAACAGTTAAACATTTCATAAAACCAAAGAAGAGAAAAAGAAAAGAGCCATGAAGGTATCGGCTTGCTTCATCGTTGTATTGCTTATTCTGTCATGTAAGTAATTAATTATATCAAATTAAATTTATCAGTTAATGGATAATCGAGTTTAAAAACAAAATTTTTTTAGTAACAAAATTTTTTTAGTAACAAAAGTTTAAAAACAAAATTTTTTTTAGTAAAGCATATGAAAGTATTTGATATATGTATATATTTGTATACAGGTTCATCATCAATGATAATGGGATTTAACAACGGTGAGGATCATTGCTATGACTGGTCAGATTGTGCCGTATATTGCAAACGATATGTTCCTCAACCAAATTGTATTAACCACCATTGCGATTGTAGACCTCCTGTTTCGACCGATGACGACCTTCACGCATCGGCTACTTCTTCCAATTTTAATAAGAATTGATTATGAATAATTGATTATGAATATATGATTCAGTATATCCAATAAAATACATTTCTCTCTTTTTTTTGTTTACATCAATGTGTAAAAGTATCATAACTTTTCTCATTTTATATTCAATTGGTGTCGTAAGATTTCGAACCATTCAAAATTTGTACATATATATACAAGAACTAGACGTAATCGTCACGGAATGTAACATACTAGATTGTCAAAACTGAATCTGAAAATTGAAGGATGGAAGTAATCAAAATCTGGTTTAGAACATTATAAGAGTACATTATTTTTTTTTTTTGTTGTTTAATAACTATAGGTTTGTGGACATGTTGGTTATTGAGTTCTATAGATTTCTTTTACCTATCATGACTCCTTGATCGTTAACCAGAACAGCGAGATCTTTGAATATTTCGTTAACTTCACCAATTTGATTATGGATTTCTTGTATTGCTTGCTCTCTTTCCTCGGTCACACCCTCGTTGAATGCAATCTCGTTGTCTAACAATACAAGTTCCTGTCTGCAACAATCAAACAAGGTGGAAGATAAGTCACACACAAAACAAAATGAGTCAAATGTACAAGAATGTGTGTTTCAGTATCCACCAAGCTCTTTGACTCCACAAGTTGTGCCCGCTGTTCCAGAGCCTTATCTATCTCATTCGCTGTATAGCTATATACCAAGCCAGCCAAGACAAATAAGGTACATGATTATCAAAACCAGTTAAAACATTTCGCATTTATCATTCCAAATTTTGATTCAGAACTTGAGACTAATATACACAAAAACCACAGAAAACCATGTATAACATATTCATACATCTATCAGTGAGTTTTCTCGAGTAACCCTCAATCAAGACCGATTTATCAAAGTGTGGAATCTTGATCCTTAATTTAAACGAAACAACTGCCAAATATATCTCAACATTTTCCAGTTTGAGGAGATCACTCTGCGTCATCGTTAAACAAAAAATCCCACCAATAAAATGCAGAGAAAATAAAGTTTTAATTAGTGTCTCTCACCTCTGGAAACCCACATAAAAAACATGTAAACCGATGAAACTGAAAGTGAACTGTGAAACTTTGTTTGATTCGATGAATGTTGTGCCCATTCAATGATATTTTTTGAATAAAAATTGGATGTTCTACAAGAAAGGAAGAAACATTGCCCCTTACAATTCAACATATATAAAGATAGTGATTTTTCGTGTCGTCCAACACTCGGATCGGTCTAACCAAAAGTACAATCTATCGATCTTCTCGTCTCTACCTAAATTTTGTGTGTCATCATTTGTTGTGATTGATGGAATCGATCAATCCGTTTGGATATGCTAGTATTGGTTCTTATATTTAACACATATATCGATAAAGCAAATGCTAAAACCGTCAAAAACACAATACAAGTCGTAATAGTAAATGACATATGTTTTATTCATGTAATGGAAGGTACATACTGAATTAAGAATTAACTAGCACTCTAGAGGACTTGACATATGACGTCTATGAAGGTTAATTAGTCTTGCAGCAACAATAATAGTCGGATTGTAAACCAAATTTTCCTGCTTTGTATGTCGAAGGAGATGTTAAACAAAATCCCCCATCTTTGAAACCTAGAGATTCACAATGTTTATTGCATGCATTTGCGCTGACACATGGTCCCTTTGGCACACATAGTTTCTGACCTATATTTAGCTCATAAAAATTAGTAATAATTTATATACAAAATAACTAATTCAATATATTTGTAAAAAAAATTAAAAATACAAAAAAAGATTCTTACGTCTAATGATTTTGATTCAACTAGTTATAAAGTTTGATTTAGAGTATTTCAGATTGAAAAATATATTTTTTTCTTTTGAAACAATATAACCCTAAGAAAATAAATATGTTACCTGAGACTGAAACCATGGTCATAAGGCTGAGAGTAAAGAACATCAACAAAAGTAATAAAAGTGAGGAAAACTTTTTAGCCGCCATGAGTTAAGTTTCAATAGGTTAGAACAACTCTTTGTCTGGATATATCCTTAAAAAAAAAAAAAATACATCAAAGTAAATCGAAGTTCAAAATCAAAAACATTTTAAAAAAAGGTAATAGAGACATCTATAATAAGAGTATATAAATAACAAAAATTAGTATTTGTATAGTAATTTTTTTTAGAAGAAAGCTCAAATATTTATTTTCGCTCTTTGATAAAATGATTTCAGC